AAAAAAAATCAACATTTCTCCAGTTAAAATTAATTATTCTTCTATGTGTCGGTCAATATGAACAGTTATCTCCCCCTTTTATTCAAATTTTCCTTGTCCTCTTCATCAGTAGGAAATAAATCTTCCAAGACAGTTGGGCTCTTTATCAGTTCTCGTTTCTATCTCTTTCTTCTTAATGACTAAAGAAATTGAATTATCATATGAAATCCAGTTTGCAAGATGATGTTGTTTTTCGTAAAAAAATATCTTTGATAACTCTTCACTTATTCTTAAATGACAAAGGAATTTTTTTTACCGCAACGACATCTCCATGCATAACAATTTCACATGAGAAGTATCTTCAGTTGCATTGCTTCTGTTTTTAAACAAGCCTATGCTGACGCAATCCCTTCCCAAAGTGAGGTTGCGTCAGGCGGACATACAAACCATTTTTTGACATCAGTGTATCATGGGTACCTTCCTCAACAATCCTCCCTCCATTAAGTACAACTATGTTGTCAACATGCCTCATCATGGCAGCTCGGTGGGCAATTAAAATAGTTGTCTTGTTCCCCATGATTATAGTATCAAGAGCCTCTTGTATCACTCTGCTCGACTCATATTCAATGGAGGAGCTTTGTGCCGCCCCAGGAGGCGTTACATTAAAATCCAGCGTTTTCAGGGGCGAGGCAGAATCGTCGGGTCTCAAACAGCGGACGAATTTTATTCCGTTTTTCGGAGATACATGGAGACCCTTGATGGGCAGGTGGTGACCATGGCTTTCTGCCAGCAGAGGGCCCAGCAGAGGGACAAGACTGCCAGAATTCGAGGAATACTCCACCATGCCCTTTGACTTGTAAAGACACACTTGTAGGCCATTATTTTAGGGGAACTTGTCCCCAAGTTTTAGCTTAGATTTTCAGCCTTTAGACATATATGGTAGTAGTTCATTTGTATGTAGAACTTAGAGAGAAAATATCAAGAAAATTGGCACTTGCCTCCCAAAGCTTTCTTCCCTTTTATTACTTCTTGTTGGCTGTTTTAGGAGACTGTTTTAGACAGATTGCTGTTGCACGTTTTGTGTGCTTGTTTGGGTTAGGACTGAGCATCCGAGGAGCTGTGCAAGCCTTCCTTTGCTGTCCCACGAGCCTTCAAAAAATAGGCCCGTGACAAGTGGTATCAGAGCATCGGTTAAAGCATGACGTCGAAGTCTCAACGCAACGAAGAAGGGGAGCCAGAAGCTAGGAGAGACACTGCCAGAAAACGTGACAAGAGCAGGGTAAGGGAGTCTTCGTCCAACCCTCCTGCTGGGGGCAGGAGCCTTGGGGAAGAGGGAGAAGTTTTCGATACCAGCCAACTCGACGAGAAGATCCTCGGAGTTGAGGCTGGTATGTCGGCCTTGAACAGGCGACTTACAGTTTTCGAAAACAACTTCACTACCCTCGAAACAGTCGCTATTGAAGGTTTCGATGAAGTAAAGAGTAACTTTGAAGAGCTTGAAGAGGTTAACAATGAAGGACTGACCAACCTCGAACTCAAGCTCACCGAAGCTCTCTCCTCTCTTCACCGAGAGTTTGAGACTTTGAAGAGCGGGTTGATGAGACCGCCACTGCGGGAGTTGCTGGTCCCGTCACTGTCCGTGAGACACGGATTGAAGCTCCCAAGCCAAAGGAGTTTCGTGGTGAAAGGAATGCCCAAGACGTTGAAAACTTCTTGTGGCAAATGGATGCTTACTTTGAGCACGTTTGCATGACCAGTGAAGCTGCCAAGATTCGGACAGCAGTTATGTACTTGAGCGACACCGCCATGCTGTGGTGGCGGAGGAAAAAGGCAGACATGGAGAGAGGGGTTTGTTCTATCGACGATTGGGAGCAGTTCAAAGGGGAGTTGAAGCGACAGTTCTACCCTCAAAACGTAGTGCATGAAGCTCGTCGGAAGCTGAGGGAACTGAAGCAAACATCCTCCATTTGAGACTACGTGAAGGAGTTCACTAGACTCACTCTCCAAATTCCGAGTTTGACAAGTGAAGACTTGCTGTTTTACTTCTTGGATGGCCTCCAAAACTGGGCCAAACAAGAGCTCCAAAGGCGACAAGTCTGTGATGTTGACGAAGCGATCGTAGTAGCAGAATCGCTCAATGATTTTTGGGCAGAAGCAGCGAAGGGGAGGGACAATCGGAGCAAAAAATGTTCCTCCCAAAGGGGATAGCAGTCGGACCAAGAACAGGCCAGTTCCCAACCGAGGCAGCGACACAAGAGGTAACAATCGAAACCAACCTTCTAATTTCCGCAAGAACTAATGAGGATCGTAAGAAAGGCGCTCCACATCGTGAGGGTTGTTATATTTGTGGTGAAACTACTCATGCTGCCCGTTACTGTCCGTCCTTAAGTAAATTAAATGCAATAGTTGCTGCCCAAAAACAGCAAGAACAGGTTGCATCGCAAACTGGAGGTTCATCCAGTGAGCAAGGCGGACAGGCTAGCGGGACTGAAAAGAATAAGAATGTTGATGTTGGGATGTTTAACCATATGGCTTTATTTAATCAGATGACTCTTTCTGCGTTAGCTGCTCAGCCGGCTTGTATAAAGCCGCGTGAATCGTTGTTTGTCAATGCCAAGTTGAATGGCAAAGACGTTAGAATTATGGTGGATACCGGTGCAACTCACAATTTTGTAACGAAAGAAAGGGCCACTGATCTTTGCTTGAATTATGTTGCTAGTGATACAATGCTGAAAACAGTCAATGCCCTCCCCACAACTGTGCACGGATTCGCTCCTAAAGTCCCCATCGATTTAGAAGGGTGGAAGGGGCTGACAGATTTCACCATCGCGCCCATGGATGTTTTTGACATCATCTTGGGGCTGGATTTTTGGTATGAAGTAAACGCGTTTATTTCACCGCGTCTCAGCCAATTGCACATTAGTGATGCCGGAGGTTCCTGCGTGGTGCCCCTTATTCGGGTGCCACAAAACAGAGTGCACTTGTCCGCCATGCAGCTTATTAAAGGCTTCAAGAGATGGAACCAACCTTCCTTGCTGCCCTTGTTGGAGGCGTAGGAGCAACGATTGAGGCAGCAGCCTTGCCTCACTGCGTCGAGCAGGTCCTTTATGATAATAGGGACGTGATGCCGGAGGAACTTCCCCAACGGTTGCCACCGCGAAGGGAAGTTGATCATCAGATCGAACTAGTTCCCGGGGCAAAGCCACCTGCCATGACGCCTTATCGTATGGCGCCCCCGGAACTAGAGGAACTGAGGAAGCAGCTCAAGGAGTTGCTGGAAGCTGGACATATCAGGCCTTCGAAGGCGCCTTTTTGGTGCGCCTGTTTTGTTCCAAAAGAGAAGGAAGGGACTTTGCGCTTGTGTATTGATTATCGGGCCCTCAACAAGGTCACGGTGAAAACAAGTACCCTATTCCGTTGATCGCAGATTTATTTGATCGATTGGGGCAGGCTAAGGTGTTACACAAAAATGGACTTGAGGAAGGGTTACTACCAAGTCCGAATTGCTGAAGGTGATGAGCCAAAGACGACTTGCGTCACTCGTTATGGTGCCTTCGAGTGGCTGGTGATGCCGTTCGGCTTGACGAACGCTCCAGCTACGTTTTGTACGTTGATGAACAAGCTGTTCCACCCCTTTTTGGATCAGTTTGTGGTCATTTATTTGGACGACATTGTCGTTTATAGCAACAGCTTAGAGGAGCATGTTGAGCACTTGTGCAAAGTGTTCAAGGTATTGCGCGATAACGATTTGTGTGTGAAACGGGAAAAATGCAGTTTCGCCTAGGCCACTGTCCAGTTCCTCGGGCACACAATCAGCCATGGAGAAATAAGGATGGACAGTGACAAGGTTGAGGCAATTCGAGATTGGGAGGCCCCAACGAAGGTACCAGAATTGCGGTCCTTCCTTGGCCTCGCCAATTACTATCGACGCTTCATATTTGGCTATTCTGCCATTGCTTCTCCCCTCACAGACTTGCTGAAAAAGAGTCGTGAGTGGGATTGGACAGACCTATGTCGGGATGCCTTCGAAAAGCTCAAGGTTGCCATCATTGAGGAGCTTGTTTTGGCGCTGCCAGATTTCTCAAAAGCGTTTGAAATTCACACCGACGCGTCTGATTATGCCATTGGTGGTGTCCTAATGCAAGAGGGCCACCCGATAGCGTTTGAGAGCAGGAAATTGAATGATGCGGAGAGGCGCTATTCTGCTCACGAGAGAGAGATGACAGCCGTAGTTCACTGCCTAAGGACTTGGCGTCATTATATATTGGGTGCTCATTTTGTTGTTAAGACGGACAACGTCGCGACAACTTACTTTCAGTCTCAGAAGAAGCTGACTGCCAAGCAGGCCCGTTGGCAAGACTCTTGGCTAATTCAATTTCACGTTTGAGTACAAGCCGGGGAAGGCAAATGTTGTAGCCGACGCACTGAGTCGCAAAGCTGCCCTTGCCGCGATTATTAGCTCAACTTGCAGCAGCGTCATTGATGATATTAGAGAGGGTATGCAGCATGATCCCGTGGCCAAGCAACTTCTCGTTTTGGCCCAACAAGGCAAGACGAAAAAGTTTTGGGAGGAAAGTGGCTTGCTGTACACCACAGGCAGACGTGTGTACGTGCCGAAATGGGCTAGTCTTCGGCGTACATTGATAAAGGAGGGTCATGATACTATGTGGGCTGGTCATCCAGGACAGAAGAGGACGTTGGCACTGCTGGAGTCTTCTTATTATTGGCCTCGAATGCGGGATGACATTGAGGTCTACGTGCGAACTTGCCTCGTTTGTCAACAAGACAAAGTTGAAACGAAGGCGCCGGGTGGACTACTTAAGCCACTGCCGATTGCTGAGAAACCATGGGACAGCATCACCATGGATTTCATCACTTGTTTGCCGAATTCAGAGGGGTTCGGGACCATCATGGTCGTTGTTGATCGCTTCACAAAATACGCAACATTCACTGCCACGACTGCCAGCTGCAAAGCCAAGGAGGCAGCCCGTATATTTTTACGTGATGTCGTCAAACATTGGGGCATACCAAAGCACATTATTAGTGATCGGGACCCTCGATTCACTGGAGCGTTTTGGAGGGAATTATTCAGCTTACTTGTGTCAGAATTACACTTCTCGACCAGCTTTCATCCCCAGACGGAGCGGATCAACACACTTTTGGAGTGTTATTTGCGGCACTATGTCAGTGCCAATCAGAAGGACTGGGCCAAGTTACTGGACACTGCCCAGTTCTCCTATAATTTACAGCGGAGTGAGGCGACGGGAAGAAGTCCATTCGAATTAGCTACCGGGCAGCAGCCCAACACGCCACAATCCTTGCCCGTCGACGCCGGTTTGAAGAGTCCGGGTGCCTATCAAATGGCAAAGGCCTGGGAAGAACAGGTCGACCTTGCAAGGTCCTACCTTGATAAGGCAGCCCGGAAAATGAAGAAGTTTGCTGATCGAAAGCGGCGTCCAGTCGACTATAGAATTGGGGACCGAGTTATGGTGAAACTCAACCCTAGGCAATTCAAGTCGCTACGTGGAGTGAGTCAAAGTCTGATTCGCCGCTATGAGGGTCCTTTCGAGATTATTGCCAAGGCTGGCAAAATTTCGTATCGTGTTGATATGCCCCATCACTTGAAGATACACCCGGTCTTCCATGCTAGTCAACTAAAACCGTATTTTGAAGACGTGGAGGACAGGGATCGGGGGCAGACCGGTAGAGCTCAAATATTTATTACTCCACCAGCCGTGGACAAACAGATCGAGGCCATCATTGATCATCAGCTGGTTCGCGGCAAGGGCTGGAACAATTCGAGCTCGCAATTCCTCATCCATTGGAAAGGAACTGCACCGGAGGAGGCAACGTGGGAGAAGTACGAGGACTTGTGGCAGTTTCGCGACAAGATCCTCTCTTATTTGTAGGTGTGTGGCGCCGGGGTCGTCGCCAAGTCAGGTGGGGGAGCGTGTGCCGCCCCAGGAGGCGTTACATTAAAATCCAGCGTTTTC